GAGATGGGGAAGGTGGATTTTAACCTTTTGACGACTCAGAAAGAGTTAGGTATCGGCAACGGCGACTATCAGCTCTTCCAGAGGTATTGCCACAGCAAACTGTGCAACGTCCTCTTCACCTACGAGCTCGCCAAGCGGCTGCAGGGCACTAAGGTCACCTGCTACAGCCTCCATCCTGGTCAGTATAGACATCAGCCTGTCTGTGTTTTGCTCGTTAATGTGTTTTGGCTACCTGTAGCAGGTTATATTTGACAGCTGACTCTATAGAAAATGGGACTTTTCTGTTTTCACTTAAACCCATAATCAAATTCCCTTTGTGGATTATTAATAAAGTTGTATTGGATTGAATTGAACATTTCATTAATATTTTTTTCTGACATAAATGGGCTTCCATATATGTAAATGTATCATTACTTAAAATTTAACTTAGGATTTTATTAATTTGACCTAGTAACATGCATATTTGTATAAAGCTAGTGCTGCGGTATGTAGCATAGGTCCATATATTACAAAAGTAAACAAATTAATGATGAAATAAACAAGATCAGTATTTTTATTTTTGGCCTTTGTTACATTTAATCTTTTCTTCTGACAAATTTATTTATTTATTTATTTCATCCAGGGGCCATAAAGACAGAGATCGGTCGTTACTCTGGTTTCTGGTGGAAACTTATCATGACACCCATCATCTTCCTTTTCTTTGTGGATGCTGACTCCGGAGCTCAGACCACGCTCCACTGTGCCCTGGAGGAAGGCATCGAGCACCTCAGCGGCCACTACTTCACCCAGTGTGCGCCACTGTTGAACATGAAGTCGAAGGCGAGAGACGACGCTGTGGCCAAGAAGCTGTGGGAGCTCAGTGAGAGTTTTTGCAGTCTGTCCTAAAACCAAACCTGAATTCTAAGCTTTTTTTTTTTTTTCATCGCAGAGTAAACTCTGTATTTTCCTACAATCACGAAACACTAAGTAATAATTACTTCTCTCCTTGATCTACCTAAAGGTGACTGAAAATCATTTTTGTAAGACAAATGAAAAGAGCTTCTTTTGCTATGTTATGAAATGTGGAATACATGTAAACGTTTTTCTTTATTTCTAGTTTCAAAAGAGACCAAATCTCAAAGCAATGATGCCGCCATAAAAGGTGGAAACACACACAGCTTGAACATGATTCTCAATGTATGACACTGTTTTTAAATTCAGTAAAACCTAATCCTAATACTCAGTTTACTTTACTAAACACGGTTTTATTACCTTCATACTTCATTACTTTAAAAATTATTTTAACTTGTTTATTGTTTAATTTATTAGCTTTATTCATGAATGAGGTCTAACAGGAAGTTTGACACTCTGCAGGATAACATTTCTGTGGATTTAACATCCAAACCATAAAATATTTACTTATTTTGGGTAAAAACAATGATTTATACTCATTTTTGAGTTTTGACATTTTCTTTGAATTTGCACGCTTTGCGTTTGTAACAAAGGGAACGGTTACTACTACAGTATGTTTCTACGTATTGGGTTTTAACAAGGTCAGAAGGAAAGAAATCATATTTAAAGGGGGGAGCGAATTGGCTGACTTTGAAACATACAACAATGGGACCCCAAAACAACAAGGATGTAAATCCAATGTCAACAAAACACATAAGATTAAGTAAAATCTAAGTGAAAAATCTTTTATTTTTTAATTCATCTCTTTACGGAATAAAATTTTAATTATCTTATGTCTTGTTATTTTTATTCCTCTTTCTTTGTTTTTAGGATTTGTTTTGCATAAAAGCCCTGACACTGGTTTACTTACTAATCTGTACGTATGTCTTTTTCCTACATTTATAAACATAAAAAAAAACACAGGGTTATAAACACAGGGTTTATTTTGGGAGTTTTGAAAGGAAGTTCAGTTTTAGCCTCCCCGGGGGTTCAAAGTAAATCAGTAGTTAAGATAAGATTAAACTTTATTTTATTTATTTATCCCCTGGGGGAGAAATGTGCATGTTATAGCAGCAAGTTACAGAATAGCACTAAGGAGATAAATAAACAAAAAGCTAAAGATACCAGTGCAAACCTGCACTGTAACAAATTTTGTTTTATTTAAATTGCAGTAAAATACTGGCAGCTACAGTTGCCAGCATGAAACAGTTATTTTACAGTGTAACTACTGTAATCAATAACTGTTTATTACTGTAAAAAATATTACAGTAATGTGCTGAATGTGTAATGTATTGAATATAAGCAATACTGTATAATACTGTTTGTTTGGTTTTACAGTATAACACTGCTGTAAGCTAATGATTTAAACTTTTTACAATTCAAAATAAAAATAACTCAAAATTTCTAGCATATAAATGGATCAGACAAAAGATGGCCTTACAACATGTGGCATTTATTAAAGTCAATGCACTATCAAAAAAATAAAATGACAATTTTAAAATAAGTACATTTTTCTAAAATACAATTCATTAAAACGCAATTTCTGAACATGTTCTCAATATGCTATACTAGCCTAGTCCATGTATCCTATAATCAGTTAAATTATTTTCTTGAACTATGACGGACATGTAACATTATTTATTAAAGCCACTGCTTCATACACCTTCAGTAGCTGACAAATTTACAGTAATATAATTCTTGTAAAATACAATCCATAACAACAATTAATCATCTCAAGCAGGTCCTCAACAATCTTTCAACAACTTGCATACCATACTTAAAACTGTACCCTGCCTTCAGTATGCATAAGGTATGATCATGATGTGCAATAGAAAACGCGTGAAAGAACAAACCTGGAACTAACAGTACTCAACTCAAACAATGGGACTCAGCTATACTGAACAGAACACAATGCTCAGACATGTTACCTTAAAATGACCTCATAAAGATCTGGTTGTTTGAGGGCTTTCGTTTGTTTGTTTGAAAGTGAGGTCCTGTGTGGAGATGTGTTGTGGACTACATAAAGCCTCACTCAAAATCCAGGAGGGTTTTTTTTATAAGGGTGGCCACATAGAGATTCACAGTTGCTGCCTTTTTATGGACCAGCTTCCTGGTCTTCTTGGACACCACCTTCCCCTGGCTGGCCTTTGTTCCCCTCTTGGGGTTGATACCGTTGAAGTGCCTAAAACAGAGAAAGCATAAAAGAAATTAGGTGTGCTAAGTAAAGATTATTTGCACTCAATATGTAATCCTCTCACATTAGACATTCCACTTTAGATAATTTCAAAAGAGGAAATACTGGCTATAGTATTGTTGTCATAGAAGTCAGTAAATATATTATATATTGGTCCTTTAAGACTGCACTTCGGATTTTTTCAACCATGGTGTCTATTGTTAAAAACCTTCATATATGCATGTATTATCTCTAGCTCTCTTTTGATATCAAATTCAAATTTGAATGACCTTTATTGGCAGATGTGAGAGCAACCTAATCACGCTCTATATATCTATTACTCTATATTTTAGCATGTAACTAGTAAATGTATACAGTATAGCAGTTTCTGAAACTTTGTTTAGGCTCTATGTTTTGTGTACATGCATGCTTGCAACATGGGTTAACACAAAGTAGGCTAATGTAAAGTTTCACTTTGTTATGCTTTTGTCTTTTACATTTGATAAAATCAACACACGGGTAATGCTGACTTTGATAAGATTGAAACGACCTTGTTAAGTAAGCCACAAGAGCAGGATGGATGGACAGTGTGCAGGCTTAGGCAAGGAAGAAAGCACCAGGTGGTGAACTGCTTCGTCCACTTCAGTGCTGCCAGGACCAGAATCCGGGTGAAAATTGTCTTCAGTACATCTCCTTATTATCCTTCCTATTATGTTGATTAAAATCACTACTCTATAATGCTAAACTCGTATTTTTTAATTTATGTAAGTTGACCACGTGCTAAATGAGGTGGTGTGATTTGAAGCAACATGACGTGATCAGATATGGGTGGACTCAAGCAACAAAACAAAAAATACTGTATTATACTGTGACATTGTACAGTAGCTTGCTGTTAATATGTTTTTCCCTCAAAGGCATCAACATTGACAGTATTCAACTCTATTTACAAATAATGGTGCATTACTGTACAAACTCCACTAATTTTACAGCAATTTGTTACAGTGTGTCAAGTATCCCTTTTGGCTGGGAAAGTCCCGTATTTTACCCTTCTTTCCCGCTGTCCTCCCGTATTAGTATTTTCCCGTAAATCTCCTGTATTTTAACCTGCGTTATTAAAAAATAATAATACCCCGGCCCGGGCGGAGTAAAAAAACCCCAAAACATTCCCAATCTGAGCTCTGTCACTAGCTCGCGTTATCGCGAGGTTAGTGTGTGAGGTCAGATGATAAGTGACAATGCGGGGAAAAAAAGAAAAAAAACAGAGATGGATGATGGACGCTACGACAGAGACGGAAGGCACACTGGCCAAAAAAACTCACAAATACACTCCTTCCAAAAAAGTCTTAAAGAATGCAAAGTCTGCAACAAATTTGTACAATAACTCACTAAAAGAGTAAAGAAAAGTTATGTGAAATTAAAAGACAAAAAAAAAAGCAATACGAAATGAAAAGAATGTGTGGAATGAAAATAAAATGTAAATGTAAAGACAAGCAATGTTAAATGAACAGAAAATATGCAAATAAGCATTTAAAGAAATGCTCTTCATGTATACCCTTTTGTGTTTTCATTTAGGCTATAACACCTGTCTTAAAATTTAAGGGATAGTGGAGCTTGGTTGGGGTGGTGGGTCTGCTCGCGGTGGGCGCCGGAAAATTTCCCTTATTTTCAAATCCAAAACTTGACAGGTATGTACCAGTGCAAAACAGTGCTTCTCTCCTGCTGCCAGCTGTTGCAGAACAAACCACAGTAAACCTAAAAATAAATACTCCCGCACACACCAGAATATTAGGATTGATATGGTTTAATGAATAGATTACAGTAAAGACAAAAAGGAGTAAACTATGCGTTTCACATGTTGCTTCATCAGATTCACTCTGCTTTATTGCATTCAGGTGCTGAGTAAGGGAGAATCAAACAGGTTCACATAGTGCTGATTAGGGAGCATTGTGCTATTTGGAGAGAATCCAGCATGTTAACATTCCTAATATCGTTGACAAAAGTCAAAACAATATTAGGCCATAGCAACTACAATTCTAGGAATTCCTGGAAATCCAAACAGCAATACAAATAAACAAAAAAAGATGAAGGAAATTCTGCAAATGACCAAATAATAGTTCATTTACAAGATAGCGCAGATGTGCATATGTACAAAGGGAGTGCAACAGAAGTATTCTAAACTGATCCGGAGTTGTGAGTGTAGACGGGGTTCAGTAATAAATATAAATGCCCACAACGACGATGCTAAGATGCTAAGTCAAGTCCAAGTTAAAACTGGAGAGGGGCAGACTCCTGAATGGAGTTCCCTTCTCATTAACGTTTGAACAGCAGCAGGAGTTTCAGTTCAACATCAGTGCTGACTGATAAGGAATGCCAGCAGAACCAGTTGGATCTGCCTGAGCTGTGACTCACCTGCCAGGCTCAAGCAGGTAGAACTGGTCCGATAGGTGAGTCCCACGAGGTCAATAAATGACAGAGCTCAGTTCCTGAGTCAGTCAGTGATTCGCAGGTGGATCAGACGCTGTAACAAACCATGTATCTCCTGTTGTTGGTCGGTGTGGTTCTGGGAGCTTACATCATCCTCACACAGACTCTCTTCAAAAGATCCAAATGCAAAGGAAACGCAGCGATGGCCGGGAAGACCGTCATCATCACAGGTGAGACTGTCTGGATACAAGATATCTAGACATTTAACAGGCTGAGAAAAACATTACACATGATGTTATATTGTTGCTGACAGTTTTGTTTGTTTTCTTGGTGCAGGAGGCAACACCGGCATCGGTAAAGCCACGGCTCTGCACCTGGCCAGGAAGGGAGCCAGAGTGATCCTGGCCTGTCGTAACCGGGACAAGGCCGAGGCTGCTATCAGAGATATACAACAGGTAGAGACAAGAACAATTGAAGGAAACACATAGATCACATTTGATGCTCCATTCAGGCTTTGAAAAAAATCACTCACTGTCCTGAGACATGTCATTTCTTGTTAAGGAGAGGCTGCATACTCAGCTGTTTCTTTCTTTCTTTCACATTAAAAACAGGTTTGTAAAGTGAAATTTGACATGTTTTAAGTGAAATAACATTATTATCTAGAGGACTTACGTAATGTACTTACCCAAACCACGATGGTACCAAACTATGACTATGACCACGTGTTAAACGTCAATCGACTTAGGTCATAATAGTGTACTTAAGGTCTGGTACACCTTTTAATGGACTAGTACGTTCCAACGTTTGCACATGTCATTTGGGAATGGTCCTACATGTCATCAATCAATCTCTTTTGTTGTTTAGGTATGAGCACGTGTTGACTAAATACTACGCCTTTGCCGCTGCTGCCTGCTGAGTTACAAAGCTTAAACAAAGAGTTCAACCAATAGCACAGAAATTAAGTTGAGTGTACTGATGGAGGATGGACTCTAGTGAATGCTAAAAGGAGTTGAAGTCTAAATTCAGATGTAATCACTGACACAAGCTGTGTCCGTTTAAGTGTCAACTGTGACAGAAGCTGAAGTATTTGGTAATAGTGGTATAAACACTAAAAAATGACCTCTATTAACACCATTAGAGGAAAGGAGTTGAAGCGTTAGTTGGACATGAGGTGAACTGAAACTGTTACAAGTATTTTGAGAGATAAGAATCGACAAAAAGAATGAAAAGAAGGAGAATGACATGATGATCTTGTTCCAGGATACAGGAAGTACTGATGTGCTCTACATGCAGTTGGACCTGGCCAGTCTGAAGTCCGTCCACTGCTTTGCCAAAACGTTCCTGAAAACTGAGTCCAGGCTGGATCTGCTCATCAACAACGCTGGTACACAAACACATGCTGTTACACGAAGACAAATTATTTATTACTTTTGTGAAAGTATGTGAATGAATGCGAGTTGTTTCAGGTTTACCTTGAGTCGACACATCAAGCAGAGCCTTGGCAATGACTAGTTTTAACGGCATGCATTGAAGACATTCTCATACAACAACATACAAAAGTTTTGGTCACACATTTGCCGCCACCTGCATCGCCGTCCTTGTGCACAAGATGCAGCTGCATAGCGGTCACACTAGCATTACAAATTAGTGAAATTTAGCTGTGTGGTAATTTAATTAAGCAGATTACATAATGTATAAGGGGCCGTTTTCATGGCAGACATTTTGACTGGTCATAGCAGGAGAAGCACAGGTGAAACTAATCAGTAGCATTAAGTGTCCCAGGAAGGCATGACAGTGAGCCAGCATGCACAATACCAGGACCCCCCAAAACTAGATCACCCTAAATGTAATGCAGTTGTTTTTGCAGTTTATCTTGATTGCTTAAACACATTTCTTGAAATTATGCCTCTTTTTCTCGAAACTCTACACACAAATCCACAACTTCTCACTCAAATCCCCAAACACCCCATTTTCAGGTCAGAATGAAGCTCTCCACTTAAAACCATTCAATCTCCACCACTCGCTGAAAAACCAAACTTTGCCCTCAGACATGACATATAACATACATTTTTCCTTTCCCTACTTCTCTTCCCATTTCCTTATTGCTCCTCCTCTCCGGTGTCCTCAACCTCTTCCTTCACATATCTCTGGATCCATTGTTCCACAACTGAATAAACTGACTCTGTCCCTTTTATCTATCTATTGGAGGTTCTGATTGGAGTGTTATCAATGGTGACTCTTTGTGTTTCCACCTGGGTAGCTATGTGCTGATTGAGCTCAAGTTTTGCTGACTTGAGTGAACAATATTGAATGTTAATGCTTTCTAAATGATCACACGGTGTAGGCAATGAGAAATAAAGGGATTTGTGAGAAGAGTTTAGGGAAATTAGTGTGCTTTTTGAAAAATGGAGTTGTGGTTTTGAAATTATTGTTTGAAAACCTGTTTATAGTGTTTAAGCAATTAAAGAAAAACTGTAATGTTATGGATTACACCTGTGCTTTTCCTGCCATGACATGGCTAAATTTCTCCTCTGAAAAAGGCCTATAGTTCATGAAATAATGAAGGAGACTCTGACCCATAGTATACCTAAGCTTTGTGTTTTTGAGGCCACTTGAGTTCTTTGTCCAACTGATGAAACAAAGAAACAATCAAAGTTGTCAGTTTAGTAGTAGGTCTTAAAAGAAAACCAGATAATCAGGTGTAGGCTCTCTCTTAATACTAGTTTTTATCTTTCATCTAGAGACAGCAGTAGATGCTCCTTTATCTTAGCATACGGACAGAAAATGTGACATTCTTGTGACAATGTTTTGATGAAATAAACCTCAGAAAACACATTGAGGAACAGAAGTTAGATTTTGACAGCAGACATTTTGACCTGTGGCAGCAGTAGAAGCACGGGTGTATTGTAACTGTTTCATTCAGGTCTGACAGTGAGCCAGAAGTTACAATATCAGAGAGGTGGCACACCTGATATGGAATGCAGACAAAATTACATCACTGGCTTCAACCTAAACAAAGCGTTCACTGGGACAAAGGTCTTCTGACTATTGAGGCGGAATGTTGTCAATTAAACTGACCTAATCTAAGGCATTAGAGCAAATTTTTTTACTTTTAGTCATTTTTGTTGTACTTTTTTTTTTTAACCCAAACTACTAATGTCATCATTATACTGCATATTTAAAATGTCTCAACTATTTTTTTTAAATTAAATTATGTTAGACAAAACAAGTTATTTACCATTAATTTAAAATAATTTACTTAAGTTTGCATTATTTAGTTTGTTTTCTCATTACATTTTAAATTATTTGATGTTTTTATTTAATATTGTACATAAAAACAAGTTAGTGTGAGAAAGATCCAATGACTGAATAAAGAACAGATTATTATTATAACAGATATTATTAGATATTACTCTTTTTTAAAGCTGGAGTGCAGGACTTTTACATATAAATGAATGTTTGTTAGAACGTCAGACGGGGGAGACAGAAGTTTTGCAGATAACAAAGAGGGATTCTACAGTGTAATAGCTAGTTTTTATACTGTTTTACTTTATATATATATATATATATATATATTTTTTTTTTTTACATGTAATTACATGAAGTAGCTCAGTTCCCATCTTGCGTTAAAGCGTGTTTCCCCACTGAATAGCATTTCCCATAGGATTGCCTTTCATGGTGCGGCTAGGGTTCAAGTTTGGTCATGTTTAGGCACCACAGGGACGACTGGTTGGTGTTTGGGATAAGCTGGGTTCAGGTTAAGATAAAGGTAAACTCAAATCGATCTTAATAGTAGAAAGAACTGCTGACATTCCTAAAACAATGTAAATGTAAGTCTCTGTCTGCTCTGTAGGTCTGGTAGCTGACGGGCGGACGGAAGACGGCTTCGGCATTGGGTTTGGGGTGAACCACCTGGGTCACTTCCTGTTGACCTGCCTGCTGCTGGATCGTCTGAAGGAGGCGGAGGAAGCTCGAGTGGTCTCTTTGTCCTCCATGGCTTACCGCTGGGGACACATCGACTTCAACGTGAGCTTTTTAATTGCTTAGTCAACACACACATGACATACAAATACACAGTTGTTGCCGCACACACTGGCATTTTTCAGTGTTTATAGTTCAACTCACAGTCAGCACCTTTCAAATATTCCACTTAGATAAAAACAATACAACATGATGATTCAAATTAGAGAATTGGGTAATTATAGTGAAGTTTACAGTATTAGCTACAGAAAACCAGAATTTCACATCCTTACGACAGTATGAAGAGGAGGAATTTAACGGTCAACAAACTTTTCAGGGCTTAATTTACTAAGTACTGCTTTCACTGCTTATACTACTGTTTCCATGCTGTAACTTACACTTCAACTTATTTCAGTGCTTTCTTGTTTGCTTTCATCCTTTCTTCGTTTTCCACAGGAAAGTAACAATGTACATACTCAAGTCACTTGTCAAGTACAATTTTGAGTTAATTATACTTTAATTCTACTATACTTCAGTTGTATGTGTTTTACTCCACTGCATTGATCTGATGATTAGTTATTTTTCTGTACATTAGAAACACGATAACCTTAGAACATACAAAGAGACCTTTCTCTCTATACGTGGTTTAATTTCAAATTATTAAATGTTTTATTAAAATTCAAAGAAGAGAGAAGTCCAAAAACAAACAAAAAAAACAGAATCAGAATTTTTTTTTTTCCAAGACCCCTCAGATTTATCTAGTGACCCTTTGGAGGGGCCCGACCCCTAGGTTGGGAACCACTAGACTAAACTAGCTAACTGTACATAAAGTAGTTAAAACTAGGAAACTGTATATAACCTACTTTTACTGCTGATATTTGAACTCTTTATACTCTATCAACCCTCCTTCACTCACATTGTTTGGAGCATCTTCTTCATTCAGACTCAGATATACTGAGGTTTCACTGCAACTGTCTTTCAGTCCCATCTCTGACAACATATGATAACATATGATAACATATTAGGAACACTTCACCATCAGAACAGGTTCCTCTGTTTGAGGATTCTTTCATTAAGGTGTTTGTGTATCTCATATTAACTCTGTCACACAAAGGGATTGTTTCATACCGAGTTTTCTGCAGAGAACATTCCTCATCTGAGGCTCCAAGCGTCACTGTCTCTTATAACACCAAGACAAATTACATCATTACATACCTTTTCACCTACTCAGTCATGATTCGTGTCACTCAGGTGATCATTCAGGCTACACTGTCTCTTTCAACACCTAGACAAATGACTTCATCACAAACCTTTTCACCTGTACTCAGTAATGATCCCGTCACTCAAGTGATACTTAGTTTATGAAGCCGTTTGTGTGTTCAGGCTCTGGAGGCAAACGGACACCTGGGCACCGGCAGGTACAGCTGGCAGTTCTTCCACGCCTACTGCAACAGTAAACTGTGTAACATGCTCTTCACCCACGAGCTCGCCAAGAGGCTGAAAGGAACCAACGTCACCTGCTACAGCGTCCACCCAGGTAACACACTCCCAACAAACATAAACTAAATATGTTGATGTCCTACTAGTGTGCTTTGCCAAATATGTTGGCGAAAAACCTAATGGGTGCCTGAATTACGTTTTCAGTTCAGGTAGTGCGACATCCTTATTGAGGTACTGAAGGTAACGTCCAAGCCTTAACAGTCTCCACACTGCCGAAAATATTTTCTAGGACATCTTCTAGCACATAGATGCATTAACTTTGAATCCTGACGTAGGTAGTTACACGTACCATTGTGAAAATGTCATCACTAGTCAGGTTTCCATCCAAATGTAGCGCAGATTCCATCTGTGGTTTAAGTCACATGCTTCATGTATGGCATCATTTATTTAAAAATGTTTTCATTTAGTTTTATCCAGACAAACTTTTAGCCAAGTTGAGAAAACTTTTAGTGTATTATGAATTTTACGAGTTATTTATAACACAAATTGAAAATGTGCATAAAGACAGGTGCATTTGCCAGACATGTGTGTGTGAAAAAACACTATATAGTGCAGCACCATAACTCATAGTTAGGTTTTACTGCATTCTTTTCAATAAACATGTCAGAGATTTATGGATATCCGTATGTAAGTTTTTCAGCGGCAACCAAGTCAGAAACTGGTATTTACAGTCCCACATAACAGGATATACACACACAGAGAAATCAATGCACAGGAATGGACCTAAAAGGGTACAAATGCTTTGTCGATCGAGCTGTACTCTAGCAGGGTGCAAGGACTGTACCTTTGAACTTAACGTAACTTCGTTACCTCTAAAAACATTTCTGCACCCCTAGTGACAAAAATGTACCTTACAATTATTCATTTACCTTCTATGTCGAGTTTGCAAACCTCTGGAGCAACTAGGGGTTAAGTGTCTGTTCAGACACATTGGTGGATGTGCATTTGAAAATAACACACTTTGAGGACCATTTCTGTACCTTACAGGGTACTTTCAAATATCGTGGCTATGGGCTTGGTAACAGTTCAACAGACCACACCTGTGAAGTTGCATGCATGCCTTTGCCACACAAGATTTGGTGTGAAGTGATCTTTTAAACTGTGATGCTGTGATAATAAGCCTAAACAGG